TCTTTATTAAACAAAAATGCCTAAGTACAATACTGTTTTACAGAAAGAGTATTGGAATTTTTGGAAGAATGGGGCAGTCTAGGTCTTCAGGACCCCCTTGGATCTGCCCCTGTATGTCCACCTTATGATATTTTCAGTTTACAATCCCATTTTTTTCCATTTATGAAACAAAGGCATTGTAATAATTTTTTTAAGTAAAATGTTAATATTTCTTGGCATTTAACAACAGTAATATTTAATTATTTAATGTTTCTAAGCATGATTCAACTATAACTAGTATGTTAATTAAAAATAGCCCAACCTTGAATGTAAATGGAAGTGTTTACTGCATTCCATGTAGCAAATGTAATGGAAATTATGTAGGTCAGTCTGGGAAAGCATTACAACTTCGAATAAAACAGCACAGATGTTCCACATGTGGAGGGCTACATCTAGTGCAGGAGGGGTGGTAGTAGCGTCTTTCCAGCATTGGCGCTTGTCTGCCTTGGTTTGCAGTCGGGCTAACTCAAAAGTATTGACACCTTGTGTGGTGCTCCTCCAAGTGTTAAAGTGTGGAGTAATCATCTCCCAAGTGAGGCGGTTGATTTGGCACTTTTTTTTTTATTTTTATTTATTTTTTTTTTTACAGGGATTAGTTCCCCCGGGCACAGGTCACTGACCCGCATCAGGGCCTGGGGGCGAAAATGTAATACAATAATAATAATAATTTTATATATAAGCTTTGGGTAGAGCTCCCTTTTAACTTGGCTTATATATAAATAAGTTAAGGGGTTAAGTTACAAACTCAAAATAGTCTTTTCTCCATTTATTGATAAACTCAAAAGGTCACAGGCTATTAGTAAAAGCACTGTAATTAACGCTGTAAGCTGTGAGTGTTACTTAAGGACAGGGCTCAGCTGGGCTGAGTTAAGTCACCTGTCCGATTCTCGTGGGAGTCAAGTGTGAACTGCCATCCTGAGGTTGGTGAGGGTAGGTCCCTGTGAAGAGGGAGGCCTCTGAAATATAATCCGGGCTAACCTTACATTCTTAAGGTCGGCTTACTGATAAAGGAATTTCCCCTCACGTGAACTGCACATGGCACCTCACAGCTTATGGAAGATTACAGTGGGGTGATTGGATTATATAAACTAAATGTATTAACCCAAATTTATATAATTGTTATTGCCATGAGACAAGGGCTTATACAAATAAAGAGCTATAAATAAATACAAAAATTAAAAAAAAATCAAGAGTGAGAAATGATATATGTATGTTGTGTTGTGAAAGTAAGAGAAACAACTGAGACCCTGCAATTGTGTGTAAATGAGGCCCAAAGTCAGATGAGCAACCTGGGACTTGGTCAAAATTTTTGTGATGCCATATGGCAGCAGGGTCTACCATTGCCCTCTTCGAAACGTAACCTTCATGTAAGATGCGACACGACTGGTTTTACCAGCCTCATATAATGTCCTCACATAACATATTCCAATCCTTATTTTGTGTGTGTTCATATTTAAACTTTCCTTCATGTTTAATGTCCAAGACTTTGTTTTGCCCGTACAGTACTCGCTAGCTCTCGGTGGCACACTGCCCGCAAGCACATGAGGCAATGTGGCTGGAGCTTTTGGTGACAATTGTTGAGTGGGAATGCCCAAAACTCATTTATATTGTCTTTCCATGGTTTTTTAATGTGCAAGAGATGAAGTTAATGAGAATGGATACCCCAAACCTTTTCTCATTAGAAGGAATAGAAAAAGTTGGAAAAAGACTATAGGGTGTAGAGGCCACTCATACCTCACTGGTAAAGAACCAGCCCACCACACTACCTGCTATCTGATATTTCTTGCAGCCTCTTACTTCAACACTAGATAATAAAGTTGGGTGGTCTTTCGATGCAAATTATGTCGCTAAGCGCTCCCGTACTGGCACAACCCCTCCTGCTCAGCAGTATATCACACTGAGAGCACACCTCCCATAAGCAGAAATGTTGGAACAATTGACCAGCACCATCAACCATCTAAGTTCCTCCCACTAGCCTCGTGGGCTGGCAGATGCATCTCTAAGGGTGCACTTTGGGTCTGGATCGCTGTACCCAATGTTTAATAAAATGGACAAATTGTTCTTGTTTTTGGCCCAAAAGATTGATAGGGGGTGAGATTGTAAGTGATGATATTTTTGTTGAAAGACTACGAGGGGTTGAGATTTTTTACAATGGCCATGAGTACTAGAGGGTTAATTTAAAACCAAAATTGAAGGTTGTGTGCACTGCTAGTCACAGACAAAAGGGTGCATTTTGGCATCTGCTCAAAACAGTATTTCCATGTGAACATTTTTCCTTAAAGTTTCAGGGATGGAATTTTTTTTTGAGTTTTTCCCTGCATGTTTGAGAATGTATTTAAAAGATTGTCAACAGCTTCTGGGGGGGAGGCAGGGGTGGATCCAGGAATATCAAGGGGGGGGTCTAAGAAGTTGTGGGTGGTGGAACATGGCAAGCGTAGCGAGCCCACCCAGCTGGGGGGTTTTGGGCGGGCGCTGTAAGCCTCCCCAGAATATTTTTTTAAATCTGACCAATATCATGGTCATTTTGAAGCCATGCGCACTTGATATTAGGAGATATTCTGAAGTCAATAGTAAGCACTTTTTACTATATGGGTACTGTACAAAAATGCCTGAGTACAATACTGCATTAAAGAAAAAGTATTGGATGGTCCCCACCCCCCAGGAAACACCCCCCCCCCCTCCCCTTCCCAAATCTGCCCTTGGTTGGCACAACAAAACCCCATCCATATGCAAGCACATTGCCACCTACATACATGAAGGCATGAGTGTAAGAAAATATTATTTGGCCCTGACCGTGAACATAATGTTACTGGATTTTGGGATCACTATGTCATATAAGAATATACTGAGGGTATGAACTCAGAGAGAATCTTGGCTACATCTAATGCCCGTATTATTAAACAACATCTTCCCTTGAAGAGGGTCATCATGTTTCAACCCGAGTTTTAAATTAAATGAGTCCTTAGGGACACCGCAGTACAGTACTTAATGGGGTGTTGTGGGGGTAAAATTAACTAATTCTAATAATATAAATTAATTTTATTGGAATTAGTTAATCTTACCGCCACACCACCCCATTAAGTACTGTACTGCGGTGTCCCTCAGGACTCATTTAGTTTAAAACTCGGGTTGAAACGTGATGACCCTCTTCAAGGGAAGATGTTGTTTAATAATACGGGCGTCAAACACCCAACATGTGCAAGTGCTTCCTAAGCCACCTGAGTCATCCAGCTTGACACAACTTGTGTATAGCATCTTTGGAAGATTCATGCAAATTTGGCAAGCATTAACCACATGTAATATACCTTGGGATTTCAGTAGTGGGTGGGAAAAGTCACCCAGATATGAAGCTCATATTGCCTGTCTGGTGGAAATATTTTGATTTCTACTTCTTAACTCGATCAGTTGTGAGTGAGCATTTCTTGTCAAAGGAGGATCACAGAAACTCGTAGCAGCAGTAAGACTGTCAGAGCTCTTAGCTTGCTCTGGATATCCACAACATAGGCCAGAATTGACCCTCATGTTTCTGTGGACGTTACAAGTAGAAAAAGAGAACTGTCATAGTACATGTGAAAGCCATAAGAGTACTGTGTGTGTATAAATCATAAGAGACACTGTGTGTGTAAACCATAAGAGACACTGTGTGTATAAACCATAAGAGATAGTGTGTGTATAAACCATTAGAGACACTGTGTGTGTATAAACCATAAGAGACACTGTGTGTATAAACCATAAGAGACACTGTGTGTGTATAAACCATAAGAGACACTATGTGTATACAGTGGTCCCTCGGTTAACGAACTCAATCCGTTCCAGCAGGTTGTTCGTTAACCGAAACCATTGTTTCAATGGGTTTTTGGGTAATTGGTTCCAGCTCACCGAAAATTGCCTAAATTTAACAAAAATGGTAGAAAAGTTCACTTACTTTGAGGTGTGTATGTAGAAGGCTCCTGGATGATGATGATGATGATGATGTGCATTTGAAGTGGGAGGTGGAGGAGGAGAAGGGAGAAGAGAAGGCATTGGGGTGGAAGAGAAGTCACCCCATGGCACCAATTTACCCATAAAATTTTAGTTCTCTTGGTGTATTTCAAGATTATTTTCTTTAAATCAACACTGCACTGCACTATATATTGTCAATATGTAAAATAAATTTCAAAATGACCAATAATTTGCTTGGAAACACAGAAAAAAAGCCTTTAGTTGAAGAAGTCTCAAGCAAGATGTTACCTCCAGTGAAAACAGAGAGAGACTAATGCCTGTTTGCTGTGTTAAGAGGCTGGATGCCGCGCATTAAACTAGTCACTTTACCTTCAATTATGTTCAATAATTGTTAAAATGACTAAAAAATTGAATATTAAACTTTTAAAATTATTGAATAGTATAAACTTCTTGATATTTACTAAAATAGTAAGGAATTTAAGCCCTAGAACCGATTAATATATTGGCGGACTGATACTAAAGCTGGTTGCCCGGCTAGTGCAAGCGAAAACATGTTGAGGTCGGTTCGTAAGAAATTCGTTAACCGAATTTTTGTTCGTTAACCGAATTGAAGATTCTTATGGAAGGCAGTTCGTTAACCGAAATTTCGTTAACCGAGGGATCACTGTATTAGTACTTACTCCGACAGTGTATGTATAAAACATAAATTATTTTACATTTTGTTAAAAATTACTGTAGTTTAGTAGTTAGGAGTTTGGTGTGTTAACATTTTAGCCCAACAGATAGAGTAGTGATGGAGCAGAGGGAAGTGAATCACCTTTGGCTAAGTACTGTATTGTACAACCATGCTGCACTTAAGGCCATTTATTACATTAGTGTTTGTGTAGGGAAGATGCTGTATAACTTGAGGGAGGCTTATCACAAACAGTAGTTTCACTTACATTGTTTCCATGAAAAAGTTCATTTATCATATTTCTTATTTTTAATTTATTATTATTATTAATATATTTTTTTTTCAGGTTGTAATTGGTGGACGCAACAAATACATGATAAATGGCACAACAGTTCAGAACAGCAGAGTTCAAGATTTCTTCAGGTCAGTGCAGCTCAACGTCAACAACCCTCACTTCCTCATCATGCAGGGACGCATAACAAAGGTCCTTAACATGAAGCCCCCAGAGGTGTGTACTGGTTTAATACATACTGTACTGGTTTAATACATACTGTACTGTATACTGTACTGGTTTAATACATACTGTACTGTATACTGTAGTGGTTTAATACATACTATACTGTATACTGTACTGGTTTAATACATACTGTACTGTATACTGTACTGGTTTAATACATACTGTACTGTATACTGTACTGGTTTAATACATACTGTACTGTATACTGTAGTGGTTTAATACATACTGTACTGTATACTGTAGTGGTTTAATACATACTGTACTGTATACTGTAGTGGTTTAATACATACTGTACTGTATACTGTAGTGGTTTAATACATACTGTACTGTATACTGTAGTGGTTTAATACATACTGTACTGTATACTGTAGTGGTTTAATACATACTGTACTGTATACTGTAGTGGTTTAATACATACTGTAGTGGTTTAATACATACTGTACTGTATACTGTAGTGGTTTAATACATACTGTACTGTATACTGTAGTGGTTTAATACATACTGTAGTGGTTTAATACATACTATACTGTATACTGTAGTGGTTTAATACATACTGTACTGTATACTGTACTGGTTTAATACATACTGTACTGTATACTGTAGTGGTTTAATACATACTGTACTGTATACTGTAGTGGTTTAATACATACTGTACTGTATACTGTAGTGGTTTAATACATACTGTACTGTATACTGTACTGGTTTAATGCATACTGTACTGTATACTGTAGTGGTTTAATACATACTGTACTGTATACTGTACTGGTTTAATACATACTGTACTGTATACTGTACTGGTTTAATACATACTGCACTGTATACTGTACTGGTTTAATACATACTGCACTGTATACTGTACTGGTTTAATACATACTGTACTGGTTTAATACATACTTTACTGTATACTGTAGTGGTTTAATACATACTGTACTGTATACTGTAGTGGTTTAATACATACTGTACTGTATACTGTACTGGTTTAATACATACTGTACTGTATACTGTACTGGTTTAATATATACTGTACTGTATACTGTACTGGTTTAATGCATACTGTACTGTATACTGTAGTGGTTAAATACATACTGTACTGTATACTGTAGTGGTTTAATACATACTGTACTGTATACTGTACTGGTTTAATACATACTGCACTGTATACTGTACTGGTTTAATACATACTGCACTTTATACTGTACTGGTTTAATACATACTGTACTGTATACTGTATATTTAGTTTAATACATGTACTGCACTGTATACTGTGCTAGTTTAATACATACTGTGCTGTATACTGTGCTAGTTTAATACGCATGCACATGCACAGCCCATGTATGCTGGTTTAATGCATACTGTGCCATACATGCAGCCCTTTCAGTTTAATACATGCTGTACTACATATGCTGTAGTGGTTTTAATACATACTGTACACTGTATACTGTACTGGTTTAATACATACTGTACTGTATACTGTAGTGGTTTAATACATACTGTACTGTATACTGTACTGGTTTAATACATACTGCACTGTATACTGTACTGGTTTAATACATACTATACTGTATACTGTACTGGTTTAATACATACTATACTGTATACTGTAGTGGTTTAATACATACTGTACTGTATACTGTACTGGTTTAATACATACTGTACTGTATACTGTAGTGGTTTAATACATACTGTACTGTATACTGTACTGGTTTATTACATACTGTACTGTATACTGTAGTGGTTTAATACATACTGTACTGTATACTGTACTGGTTTAATACATACTGAACTGTATACTGTACTGGTTTAATACATACTATACTGTATACTGTACTGGTTTAATACATACTATACTGTATACTGTACTGGTTTAATTCATACTGCACTGTATACTGTACTGGTTTAATACATACTGTACTTTGGTTTTAATACATGCTGTGCTGTATGTACTAATTTAATACATGCTACTATTACTGTATGCTGTGCTGGTTTAATGCATACTGTACTGGCCCATACTGGTAATTTATACATACTGTATACATACTGTACTGTATACTGTAGTGGTTTAATACATACTGTACTGTATACTGTACTGGTTTAATACATACTGTACTGTATACTGTAGTGGTTTAATACATACTGTACTGGTTTAATACATACTGCACTGTATACTGTACTGGTTTAATACATACTGCACTGTATACTGTACTGGTTTAATACATACTGTACTGTATACTGTACTGGTTTAATACATACTGCACTGTATACTGTACTGGTTTAATACATACTTTACTGTATACTGTAGTGGTTTAATACATACTGTACTGTATACTGTAGTGGTTTAATTCGTACTGCACTGTATACTGTACTGGTTTAATACATACTTTACTGTATACTGTAGTGGTTTAATACATACTGTACTGTATACTGTACTGGTTTAATACATACTTTACTGTATACTGTAGTGGTTTAATACATACTGTACTGTATACTGTAGTGGTTTAATACATACTGTACTGTATACTGTACTGGTTTAATACATACTGCACTGTATACTGTACTGGTTTAATACATACTGCACTGTATACTGTACTGGTTTAATACATACTGTACTGTATACTGTACTGGTTTAATACATACTTTACTGTATACTGTACTGGTTTAATACATACTGTACTGTATACTGTAGTGGTTTAATACATACTGTACTGTATACTTTACTGGTTTAATATATACTGTACTGGTTTAATACATAATGAACTGTATACTGTAGTGGTTTAATACATACTGTACTGTATACTGTACTGGTTTAATACATACTGTACTGTATACTGTACTGGTTTAATACATACTGTACTGTATACTGTAGTGGTTTAATACATACTGTACTGTATACTGTAGTGGTTTAATACATACTGCACTGTATACTGTACTGGTTTAATACAAACTGTACTGTATACTGTAGTGGTTTAATACATACTGTACTGTATACTGTACTGGTTTAATACATACTGTACTGTATACTGTACTGGTTTAATACATACTGTACTATATACTGTAGTGGTTTAATACATACTGTATATTAATACAGTATTGGTTTTATGCATACTGTATACACAATACCTTTCCATAAATTTGATAATGTATTAAATATTTTGAATATGATGTACAGTACAGTAGACTCGCAACTTACGCTGTTTCAACTACTGCATATGTGGATTACCCCTGGGGTTAGGTTACAATTTCCAAGGACAAGCTCCAAATTTTCAAAATGGGTCGCAAGCCCGCCAAACGCACCAACCTGCCATCCCACCTGGCCACCTCTGTCTGTCTGCAGTTGTCGTGGCGTGCCATATTTTTCGGCTTGGAAGACTCACCCTAGGGGGCGAAAATTTAATAATAATAATAATAAAGAACCATAAAGAAAGACAAAAATGAAAAAAAAAATCAAGAGTTGAGAAACAATATATGTATGTTGTGTTGTCAAAGTAGGAGAAACAATTGAGACCCTGTAATTGTGTGTAAATGAGACAAAAAGTCAGATCAGCAACCTTGAACTTGGTCACAATTTTTGTGATGCCATATGGCAGCAGGGTCTACCAATATTTTCCCAGGCAGTAGTACCTGCCTGTTTGGTAGCTGCCTACTACCGACACCAGTGAACCGTTGCCCTTTTGGCACAAGTTGTGTACTTCCTGTCACTAACCCTGATGGCACCTTCACTATAGTTCTCACTGTTGACCTATTAACGTGAAAATGTCTGCGCGTGGAAGTTACTGTTATCTTCTGTGCAAGTTAGTCAAATAGTTAATTTTTGTTCAAGCTCTGAATGCGACGTCAGCAAATGCTAGCTACCCTCTGAGGCCATATTTTAAGGCAGAAATTGAAAAAAAAAGTGTAGTGATATGTTGAGAGCAGCATCACAGGGGAGAGTTGACGTCCACACAGTAGTAGCTCAAACAGCTACCCTACTGAGAGCCACAGTGGGTGAGGGATCAGTGTCATCATGTACTCTGTACTCACCATCAAAGAGCTGTACCATTTATGATAAAGTTATTGAAGGTTTGGTTCTACAGGGTTAAAAGTCTCCATCCTGGCTATACCTAATACAGTCATGTGCCGGTTAACGTCCTAGATACATTCTTGGAAACGTGACGTTAACCGAAATGGACGTTGTCCGATCATCACATAAACTTTTTATTTATACTTACGTGTATGTGGAATACTATATTCGTACATATACACTTTTACTCTTAAATCACTACTGTAATGTGATACAGGTGATTAATTTTTATCTCTTGTGCAAAATACATGACGTTTATATTAAAATTATTCACTGTTTTACAAGGATTCCAGCAACGCCAAGCAGATGGGGGAGAGAGAGGGTGGGAGCGAGCGAGGGGGCATGGGGGGAGGGGAGGTAGTACGTTTGACAGTTGGCGCAGGCCCAGGTCTAATGCGTGTATATTTATCAGTTCTTAGGTGACTAAGCTTCTCTCTTATAAAAAGCCAGTGAAATGACCTGGGTGAATGTAATTAACATAGCTGGGATTCTTGTAACATACTGATTAATTTGAATATAAACATGCTATAATTTGCACTAGATAAAACAATTTTAGTTCCGTAATCAAATTAGTACATGTGCACTCCAGCTTTGCACTAAGGTCATTTATTTCTATTACGTTTCTTTTAGTATGGTGTGTGCATGTAAATGGATGAAAATAAATGAAGAAATCTATGTAAATCTACCCAAAAATACAGTTGAAAAACTTTTTTATAAAATATACTGCAGTACTGTACACTAATGTACAACAATTTTTATCTCTTGAACAAAATATATGACGTTTATATTCAAATTATTGGCTGTCTTGCAAGGATTTCAGCAATGCAAATTATATTATCCTAACTTTAGTCTGAGATATTATATAAAATAAACATAAAGAAATCACCAATCTTTTGTCTGGGAACACAGGGAGGGAGGTAGCCTGCCGAGCGTGAGGTGAGGTGACAGAGTGTCTTTATTTATTTGAGATAAGATTTGACAGTTGGCGCTGAAGGCCTGGGTGTTTATTTATCATTAGTTAAGAGTGACTAAGCTCTTCTCATAATTTGCCACCCAAACGACCTGAGTGAATATAACTTACATTGGAGGGATTCTTGTAAGATAGTAATTTATTTGAATACCTGTATAAACAAGCTATATTTGCAATAGACATAAAAATTTTAGTACTGTAATCATTTAGTACATGTACAATACAGGTTTGCACTTAGGTCCATTGTTACTGTACAATATTGACTAAATTCACTAGATAACGTACGCCTGGCCGCACAATCTATAAGAATACGCGATGCATACGTGACTGTGCCCTCTCTAGGTCCATTTAGGTTGGCTAGGTCCCATTATTTGAATGTTGGTTTTTTTTTTTCAATTTAAATTTTAATTGTTTATTCCTTGATAGAGGAAGCGGGATCCTAGTGCTGTCACTTGGTACCCCTGTACCATAACACCAGAAGCAACTGGCCAGTGTCACAAGTATATACAGTACAGTACAGTCATCCCTTGGTTATCGCGCCTAATTGGGCCCCGCCGATAACGAAAGTACAGAACCTATGGGGTTTATTCTAATTGATTCAGGCACCCAAGACCCAACCCCAAGTTTCCCATTTTATGACCATTTAGACCCACTAAATATATATACTGTATTATGGTAAATATCATAAACACACATAGGCATGGCTAGGTTTATTACAAAGCGATGAAAAGGGTACGCTTAATACTGTAGTCCACAAAACATGTAGCTATGCTTTTTTTATTTGGTCCCCCGTCATACAAGTCTGTTTTCTCTCACATCAGGACACCTGAGTCCTCCGTTTTCTCTCTTAATCTTAGAGTGCACCAGAAACTTTACTATTTTTAATAATGCCACAGAATTTGAAATTGCAACCCCAATTGCAACTGGGGTTGCAATTGTTGAGGCAACTAGATATGTCTGATTACAGCAAATGTGTTATTGCCAATTTGTAGGTGAAAGATTTTATCTTCAATAGATGTAGGTGAACATTTCATCCTTCACCACTGAAGGGTCAAGACGTACCTGGCACTCCTCTCGGAGCAGCCAGGTCAACTGTTAAGTTGGCCCATACCAACTCCCTCCCCTGAACCCTCCTCCCCACCGGAATATCAACAAGTTCTCGCCAGAAGTTACAATTTCATTTAGGAAAGGAATGGAACCAGTGTTAAACAGAGGTGAACAGTGGTGAACAGTGCATAAGTCAGTGAGAACAACTCAACAGTAACAGTCGTACCCAACTTAACCTTCACACAGTGAGGTCCCAGGTACCCAGTGATAACGGCCCGTGAGACCCAACAACAACCAGCGATGTGTTAATCTGTCTACGATAGGAAGGACTGGGACCACACCTCACTCATATAACACCATCTGTGAGGGAATTACTATACCACGTCAGGTCCCTCATAACACCATCTGTGAGGGAGTTACTACACCACGTGAGGCCCCTCATAACACCATCTGTGAGGAATTACTACACCACGTGAGGTCCCTCATAACACCATCTGTGAGGGAATTATACACCACGTGAGGCCCCTCATAACACCATCTGTGAGGGAATTACTATACCACATCAGGCCCCTCATAACACCATCTGTGAGGGAGTTACTACACCACAGGCCCCTCATAACACCATCTGTGAGGGAATTACTACACCACGTGCCCCTCATAACACCATCTGTGAGGGAATTACTACACCAGGCCCCTCATAACACCATGTGAGGCTGTAACACCATCTGTGAGGGAATTACTACACCACGTCAGGTCCCTCATAACACCATCTGTGAGGGAATTACTACACCACGTCAGGTCCCTCATAACACCATCTGTGAGGGAATTACTACACACGTGAGGACCTCATAACACCATCTGTGAGGTAATTACACACGTGAGGTCCCCCATAACACCATCTGTGAGGGAATTACTACACCACGTGGTCCCTCATAACACCATCTGCGAGGGAATTACTACACCACGCCAGGTCCTTCATAACACCATCTGTGAGGGAACTACTACACCACATGAGGTCCCTCCTAACACCATCTGTGAGGGAATTACTACACCACGTGAGGCCCCTCATAACACCATCTGTGAGGTAATTACACCACGTGAGGTCCCCCATAACACCATCTGTGAGGGAATTACTACACCACGTGGTCCCTCATAACACCATCTGCGAGGGAATTACTACACCACGCCAGGTCCCTCATAACACCATCTGAGGGAACTACTACACCACGTGAGTTCCTCCTAACACCATCTGGGAGGGAATTACTACACTACGAGTTTGCTGTTCAACACCTACATTAATCTGTATGTTCACTGTATGTTTCTTTACCTTTCTCTAATGAAGGCTTTTGTTAAACCACCAATGTATGTTATAAATCATTTATGTCCAATGTATATTTTCAGCCTTCGGGCTGCAGAACTTTTTCAATAAACCGTTAATTATTATTATTATTATTAAATGCTTAAAAAAAGCCTAAGTAAGGAAGCATATTCCTTTAACACATAATATCTGACCAGTATGGGGAGGATCATCGTGTCTCCGTCAGGGGGTCATGGAGTGGTGGTCCAGCAGGTGTCACGTTTTTTTTGGGGGGGTGGGGGTGGGGGGGGGGCACGGACGTATATACGATCGGACGTCATCCAGCGCATGACAGTAAACTTGATTAAGTAATATTCAAGATTATCTAAAGTAAAATTATAATGGAACTCAGTATATTTTTCTTCATTTATTCATAGAGTATTATTGTATATTTAAATCTGATGGGAATATGTAAACAAATATGTGAAAATTTTGTTAGCTTGTTATTTAAATCTTCCTTTGTGGAATTTGTGAGTTGAAATTAAATGTGGTTGCTGCTTCTCTCCTGGGTGAACATGACGAGCGACTTGTTGCATTTGCGTCTTGTTTTCTAAGACGAGTGAAATGTTTTGCAGATCCTTGCAATGATTGAGGAAGCCGCCGGTACTCGCATGTACGAGTCCAAGAAGCAGCAGGCCCAGAAGACTATTGAGAAGAAGGACGCTAAACTGAAGGAGATCAATGATGTATGTAGTTTTGTGTTGTGTTGTGTTCGAATGTATGTTGTTGGCTCAGGTCTTTAGTACAAGTTTTGTTATATTGTGTTGTTCCATATATGGGTGAGTGTCCATTATATCGAGGTTCATCACATGTGAAACCTCCATATAACAGACTAAATGGGAGTGTAGTCCACTATACCTGTCAGATTGATGTCCAGTAAATGTAGTAATTACTGCACAGGTTTAATATAGAGCTACAGAATGTTTGCTGTTTTAAAGTACTTCATTTCTCTCTGACAGATCCTTCAGGAGGAGATCACCCCCACACTGAGCAAGCTAAAAGAGGAAAGAACTATGTACCTGGAATTTCAAAAAGTGCAGCGTGAACTGGAACACCTCACCAAACTTTATATTGCATACAAGTTTTTGTCAGCACAGGTGAGTGTAGCTTAGCATTGGACAGTATGTTTATTGATATGGACTAGCTACTCTACACTACAGTATATTTACACACCATGTTAAAGCCATGAGTGAATTCTTTACTTCTAAGCTTAATAAAACGTCTATAAAAGGAATATTTATCATCGTTGTAGTGAGGATATAATTACAATAATGTAAATATAAACAACAGTACTGTAATAGGTTCACCATAGTTATCCTTAATGAGAATAAATTTATTATGGTAACATTAATCCAGGAAGTAATTGATAACTCCATCTGCTGTACTGAAGGAGTGACAGCAGCAGTCAGGTAAAGTTTTCATATGTCCATTGGTTAAACAAACCCATACATGATCTAGTCCTAGAGAGTTGCTGCCTTTATTGACAGCAAAAGAACATTCTTTTTGTGTGAAAGGAAAGATTTCTGCCACTGGTTGATGATGTATGGTAGTAAAAAGGGTTGACAACATAGGCTTGTGTGAGCTCAAGTGAGAATGGTTAGATGGATTTGTAATGTGACAAAGATGGGAAACCCGGTTCAGAAACTCCATAATGACTCCACCCTTGCTGAATTATAGAAAATTTCAAACTATGATTAATTGTATTTGACTGCCAGCAATGTGTTGTCTACAGATGGGACAGCAGATGCTATATGTATTTGCAAAATGTGTCAAAAATCAGTGAACTACAAGAACAAGCGCAGGACTTTGTTTATCAATATTTAGAGACTTTTAAGCACAGAACTGGACAACAGAGTACGCTTCTTCTTAACTTCATATACTTACAGGTTGTACCTCTCTAGTCCGGCATTCTGTGGTCAGGAAACTCCCGTGGTCCGGAACGATTTTAGTTTGCCCATGGAGAAAATTAATTTGAGTCTGATACTTTCGAAGTTTGGCAAAATTTTGCCTTATTTACCCTACTTTTTTGGCGAATTACTATCTGTAATAAAGCAACATCCTAATAAACCTATGAAAATAACACAGATAAAATTCAATAAAAACTTAAAACAACAAAGAAAAGTTATTATGTTCTACAGCTTCAGGTAGAGTTGAGCATACGTCATCCGAGTAAAAACACACACAACAACATTGGCTGTCCTTATGTTTTCAACTTTACCACCACTGGTGGGTAGAATTTTTGTTTTAAATTCAGAAACATTAATTACAACATAATATGAACAGTACCGTATATCTCGGCCTACAAGACGGAATTTGAAAAAAAAAAAAATCAGCCCAAAGTTAGGGGGTCGTCTTAAGCACCAGAGATAAAATTCTTACCTCTTAAATATTGCGGTTTAGCGTGTCAAGAGTGGTGATGGAAACATGGTAAACCACTGACAAGGTCCTACCACTAATTATTTTATACTGAAACTTACGTTTGGGAAGCTGGATTAAAATGAAGATTACCGGTATACATTAAAATAATAAAAATGTATTATAAACCAGTCTAACATACCGTAAAAGAACAATATACCCCGGTAATAAACACAGCTGCTATCATCACCTCCCCCTCCCCCATTTGCCAGTGACAAGAAAGGGAAAGTGACCTTGACTGTGACCGCCTGTGGCTATTTTTAGCCGTCCTTGTGTTCGGAGGTGGTCAGTAATGCATATCTGTTTATTTACTGATCATAATACTTATCTCCTATAAATAATTAATATAAAATTTATTTTTTTACAAAGAATATTCAGTAAATGACTGCGTTAATTCTTGAAACTACCGACAGTGGTAAATTTAGGATGAGAATGATTAACAGAAGTCACGTCATGGATTCGGAGTTTGGTCCTTAATGATCACCATAAATGTCTGGTCAACTTCACCTTCCAGGTATAATGGTAGCCTCCCTTTTTCGCGAAACAAGTATATAAATTAAAGAAAATAGTTGCAGTGTGTTTAATGTATTACAGTATATTATAAATAAATAAATAAACAAATAAATCGGCAAATCTATTTCAAGTAAATGGAAATATTTTACTCACACCAACATTAGTTCCAGTTAAATAACTGGCGCTTAAGTGAGTCATTGGTGTACACCAGCCGGTAAAATTTGATTCCAATACTTGAAGTAAATTGGCATTATTTTAAATAACCAACCATAAATAAATGGAAAAAAGATCAAAGGTGAGAAACATTATATTGTATGTATGTTGTGTTGTCAAAGGAAGAGAAACAATTGAAACTCTGCAATTGTGTGTAAATGAGGCAGAAAGATAAATCAGCAACCTAAGACTTGGTCACAATTTTCATGATGCCATATGGAAGTAGGGTCTACCATTAGACAATACTGTACATTATGCTTCCAATATCTTCCCAGGCAGTAGAATCTCCTTGTTTGGTAGCTGCCTAAAACTTTTAGTAATATTACTTTGATATAACATGATAAATTAGACAAACAATGAAAATAAACAAACAAAAGTTATTTACCAAAACCTACTCTCTCAGAACAGAGGGTAACAGATGGAGAGGAGTTAAGGAGGCTATTTATAGCCTGTCTTTGTGTAGGAAGTCGACCACATTAGTAATAATTCATTTAAAATTTATATTTTTTGCATAGAATATTCAGTCCATGACTGCGATTATAAAATATTGTGAATATATATATATATATATATATATATATATATATATATATATATATATATATATATATATATATATATATATATATATATATATATATATATATATATATATATATATATACATATATATATATACACACACACACACACACACACACACACACACACACACACACACACACACACAGTATTACTCACGCCTAACAGCGGTTTCACTTAGCGGGTTTATCATATCTGTGATTGCCTCGCCAGAAATGAACTTTCACTTAACACGAATTTTTTTCATCATATACGCGGTGAGTGTCGGCTCGAGCGCTATTTTAGATGCCCCATGGCGCCACCCGCCCGCCTGCCTGCCTGCCTCCCTCCTCCTCCCTCCACGCTTGGGCAAGCGGTAGGTTGCGCAGTGTGTGTCTTTGTTGCGTTATCACTGGCGTCATATGGCGTATCGGACTGTGATTGGCCATGTCCCTACCCTCCTCTGCTGCTAGCGCCAGGTGGCTTAAAGTATTATGGCGTGACCACCCCGGGGAGGAGGAGGCGATGCTTGACCTGGCAGCGGCAGTTTCATCCCTCAGGCACACCGTGCTTGGCGCGCATCCATTGTTCATTAAAATAGCTTCCATGATTCACCACAGCCACCAGAGAGACCTTTCCTTACACCTGCTTGGCGGCACTAAGCCAAAGAAGACACGACGTTCCTTAAACTCTGAGGTGAAGTACCAAATTGTTCAAGATTTGGAGAAAGGAACACGGCAAGTTGATCTCGCTGGCGCCAGCTTGTCAGCGTCGAATCTCTACGATTAAATGCGATCAAGAGAAGGATGCAGCCAGATCAAAGAGCACATGAAAATCACAAAGTCTGCAGGTGCTTCATCTATCTGGTATTGCCCAGAACAGGGTGCTGGCAAAAGTGAAAAATTGCTGGTGAGATTTATTTAGTTAGGTCGAGGCGCTGACATAACATGGCCGGTGAACAGCTCAGTGCAGGAATGCACTGCAGTGAGTTATACGCAGCAGTGTCACGTAAGCACAGAATTGCAGGCTAACCCTTCAATGCTTCCTCTACAGTTTGTGCATGGGTTTAAGAAGAGGAACAAGATCACCAACATCAACATTGGTGGTGAGGAAGCGAGTGCTGACCGTTATTGGCGGCTAGAATTTTCCTCCGTTCTTCACGTGAGATTATGGAGGGAAGGACAGTACACCGGCGACCAATTATTTAACATGGACGAATCTGGTCTTTTCTGGAAAAAGTTACCTTCCAAGACCTTAGTTGTGGTCTGCCAGCAAGGTAAGGGTCGGAGGATTGCAGAAGGAGCATCACCGTCCTGTTTACCACCAATGCCTCGGTACCTGTAAACCAAAGTTATCGGTGATTCACACAGCCATAAACCGCACGCCTACAAGAATATGGACATGAACAAGCTTAATGTCCACTGGCTAACACTGCATTAAGGCGTGGATGTCCTCTTCTCTGTCCACTCTTCTGGTTTGACAACTGTTTTGTTCCCAAGCATTGAAGAAATTCTGCGAGAGCAACAGAGATGTTTCATTCAATATTTTGTTGCTCCTTGACAACGCTTACCTGGACACTCGCCCCCTACTTATGGATCGTCACCCCAATGTAAAAGTGGTCTTCCTTCACCTCCCAACACTACGTCATTAATCCAGCCCATGGACTGAGGGAGTTGATCTGCAATGTGAAAGCTGCGTACTCTGCAAAAGAAGTTCAAGCTCCTGAGCGACTCTACCAACACCAAGGATGAGTTAAGTAAGCTGGGTGACTTGCAGACAGCGAGCAAAAGCGACGAGGACAAAGGAACAGAGGCGGTGACTCAAGAATTCGTCAAACAATTTTTGGAAGAAGTTTAGCGTTAAACAAGCTGTAGACTTCTTGGTGGAGGCATGGGATCTGCTGACTATTATACGATTCGTCACGCATGGAGACGTGTTGCCAATACCAGGTGAGAGGAGGTGAACCTGTGACTGGTGAGGTTCAGACTGTTGCAGTAGCAGTGAACCTTGCCAGAGAAGCTGCGCTCAATGCCACAGCTGAAGGCTTCTCCGAGACCACCAACGAAGACATCCTGGAGGTGATCAGAGATCCTGAAGTGACTGCCGGCGAGATGTTGGAAGAAAGAACACGCCAGTGAGGAGGAAAGAGGTGCGTCATTCTCCGAAGAACCTAGTTTAGAATCATAGTGATATTAAAAAGTGTGCCATAGAGTATGCAGAAAAAATTAAGTCCGTCCTTTCCCGCGACAATGGCGATGACCGCTATGAAGTCTTCCACACCCGGCTGGTGCAGGCTATGGAGCCGTACATCACGGTATGTGACAACATAAACACCAGCCGTCAAAAAAGCATAACTTGAGTTCTTAGCCATAACCCCACCACAGCCAGCCCAAGC